TGCTCGAGTGCGCTCATATGTAGGGTCCAGAAGTGACATGAGGTGTCTTCCTCAGCAGTCACTTAACTTTTTTTCTTTTTTTCAAGACAGGGTTTCTCTGTGTAGCCCTGGCTGTCCTGGAACTACGTAGACCAGGCTGGCCTTGAACTCAAAGAGATCTGCCTGCCTCTGCCTCCCCAGTGCTGGGATGAAAGGCACACACCACCACCGCCCAGCTACCCTTCTTTGGACACAGGGCATCTCCCTGCACCTGGAGTCATTGGTCTTGCCCGGCTGGCTGGCCAGTGAGCTCCAGGGACCCTCTGTCTTGCCTCTCACCCCAGCACTGGACTGAGAAGTGTACCGTGCACCCACCTTTCCTGTGGGCTCTGACTTAGGCAGTCAGGCTCGGTGGCAAGTGCCTTTGCCCTCTGAGTTGTTCCGTTTAGGTTTTGAACTTGTAATCCTTCTGCCTCAGATCCTGAGTAGCTGGGATTACTGGACTAGCTTTCACCTCTTTGTCTATTTATTTATTTGCCTATTTATTTTGAAACAGGGTTTTACTCCATAGACCAGGCTGGCCTGGAACTCAGAGATCCACCCGCCTCTTCTTCCCAAGTGCTGGGATCAGAGGTGTGCGCCACCACGCCTGGCACCCACAGTTGTTTCTTATTTGGGTAGCCATCCATTCCTGGGCGTTCCTGTCTTCTCTTCTGCAGATCATTTTGAAAACAATCTTCCAGGCTCTGTGAGCACACCTGTGTGCACCTCAGGGAGCCTCCAGGGAAGAGGTGATCTTCTACCCGACACTGGCTTGTCTGTCCACCTGGTACCTTCTCCTTGCTGTGACAACCTCCATGTCATCCTCATCCCCACCGGATGGAGCTCCAGGGAAAGCCCACAGATTGGGACTGGGAGATGCACAGAGCCACCACCCGGCCACGTCGGCCCCACTGCCTGGGCATGACAATCAGCTGGCTTGCTTTCTGAGCCAGTTAGCAGCATCAGGGTGGACTGGCTGGGGCTGGGGCTGCAGCTCCCCCTACAAAAGAGGGTGGGGTTGGCAGAAGAAATGAAGAAAGACAAACAGACCAACCAAGCACGAGGCAGGGAGAGGAGATGTAGCACAATGGTGGAATGCTTGCCAACATGCATAGGATCCTGGGTTCAATCCCCACTATTAACAAGGAAAAAAAAATAAAAGAAAGAGAAAAGGAGCCAGGCAGTGGTGGCCCACGCCTTTAATTCCAGCACTCAGGAGACAGAGGCAGGTGGATCTCTGTAAGTTTGAGGCCAGCCTGGTCTACAGAGCGAGTCTTAGACAGCCAACACTACACAGAGAAACCCTGTCTTGAAAAGAAGGAGGAGGAGGAGGAAAGAAAAAGGGAGAAAGAGACAGTCATGCCCAGTGTGGCCGTTTATACCTGAATACCAGCACTGAGGCAGGAGGATTGCTTGTGAGTTCAAAGCCAGTCTGGGTTACATAGCAAAACCCTGTCTCAAAGAGAAAAAAGCTAGAGGGAGGGGACTATGATCACGATGTAAAGTGAATTAATTAATCAATTTTTAAAAAGAAAAAAGCTGGCGAGATGACTCAGCCTGTCAGGGTGCCTGACATCAAGCCTGACAACCTGTGTTTGGTCCTGGGGACCCATTGGAAGGGAACAACCAACTCCCCCGTTTGTCTTTTGACTGCCATGTGTCTGTGTGCCGCAGCATACACACCCACCCGTTCATGGTGGCGGCGATGACAACAGCCCGTGTTCATGGCTGCTGTATGAACTGACGCAAGGATCTACTTAGAACTGCAGCATCCCGGAGAGGCCACCTGTGTGCAGCAGGCTCCACCAGCCCTAACGCCCACTCCTTCAGCTCACCCTCAGCCACTGGTCCTTCCAAAACAGCCGCTTCGCTTGTCAAGGTGGGGCTTGCCAGCAGTCCCAGCGCTTGAGAGGCGCGAGGGTCTTCAGACCAGAAAGGGCTTGGTAGCACACCTCTAATTTATAATATGGTTCTCTGTGTCTAGATTGCTTTTATGTTAACGCTAGTAAACACCATGGCCAAAAGCAGCTTGGGAAGGAAACAGTTATGTCATTTTACACTTTATAATTTCTCCTCAAGGAAGCCAAGGTAGGAGCTTGGGGCAGAGGTGACCTGCGGAAGGCCACTTGGAGGTTCACAGAGACTGGAGCATCCGCGTGCTCTGCCCCTCACGATCATTTCCATGTGTGAGCACTTCTCTTTGTGCTCAGACAAGCTAAGCCTCAGTTGCTTCTTGTCACACACTGGGGACCACACAACTGGCTCTGCCTCTCTACTTGTCAGGTCTGTCCTGTTCAGGCACCAGTTGGATCACATGACTTCCTGAGGTGATATGAATGAATAGGCATTACCCCGGAAAGGGCACCAACAGCAGTCAGAGAATCTGTCCCACCAAGTCCACTGCCCCAGGGAGTTAATTGCTCACACCACGGTTGACTCGAGGCAGCTGTGTCCCTGAAAAGCCCTTGCAGCATGGGTGGCAGCTCGAAGAACTTCGTTCCCAGAGCTACCGCCTGTGGTCTGGTCATGTCTCGGCATTGACTGGTTTTATAAGCTCGGAGCCAGGCTTTGTAGCTCCTGTATGGCTCTGAGCTGAGCCTTTGAGTCTTCTGGCTCACTATTGGAGCAAATGTCTCAATGTAGAGGAAATAACTACATGACACAACCTAGAAACATCCAAATATCAGGACTGGAGAGATGGCTTTGTAGCTAGGAGCACCTTTCACTCTTGCAGACCCGAGTTCTAGTCCCAGGGCCCACATCAGGCCGCTCACAATTGCGTGTCTGAAGTCCCAGGAGATCAGACCTCTCTCGTCTCTGTGCAAAGTAATTCAAAATACAAATAGATCTTTTATATAAACCTTCAAATTGCAGCATCCACAAATAAGCTGCCTTGGAACGTGGCCCTGCCATGGTAGCCCCTGTCCTCCGCAGCAGGCGGGGTCCTTGCAGAATGCACCCAGCCCCGGGGAAGGCCTTTCTCTGTGCTTCCGTCTTCCGCTCTGCTGGGTCCCTCCTGACTTCAGGTGTTTGATTCAGTTACTTTTCTCACTCCTGGGACTAAACTCCCAGAAAGAAGTGACTGGAGGGAGGGAGGCAGAGTGTGGTATAACTCAGTTTGAAGAAAGGTAGTCCAATCTGGTGGGGAGGCTCAGGGCATGAGGCGGCTGGCTCTCATCTCCGAAGACCAGGAAGTATGTGACCTAGGTCCCCAGAAGGCCCTATCATCTCAGTGCTGGCCTCTCCATGGCCTGTGCTGCTCTCTGAGTCCCTAACAGTCAAGAATCTCCACAGTGAGGAAAGCTGAGACAGAGGCATTGTCATGAGTTCAAGTCTAGTCTGAACTCCACAGAAAAACTAAGTATGGACAGCTCCATAGCAGAACCATACAGCTCCCTTGATTTTCACTTCCAACATTTGTAAATTACATTCACTGTTGTGTTATCAAGCAGGCTTTGTGCTTGTGACCTGGCCTAACTGTAGTCTGGCAGCAGGCCTCTGAGCAGACTCTTTTGTTATTGTTTCATTATTTGAGACAAGGTCTTATGTAGCTCGTGGTGGCCTGGAACTCCCTATGTTGCTCCAACTCCAGGCATTATCTTCTGGTCTCCATCGGTACCCACAGACTCAGCTGGCATAGATTCCTCTCCAGCCACACATCTTGTTTTTGGTTTTGTTTTGCTTTTCTCTGTGTAGCCCTGACTGTCCTGGACTCCCTTTGTGGACCAGGCTGGCCTCGAACTCACAGAGATCCACCTGCCTCTTCCAACCCTGGGATCACAGGCTTGCGATACTGTGCCCTTACAGCTAAGCATGGTAGTGCCTGCCTGTAATCCTGCCACTGGGGAGACTGAGGCCAGTCTGGGCTACACAGTAGCCTGCCTGGCATCTCCAGAAGAGGAGGAAGTCGTCTCTCTAGCCCCCCCACGTCTGGCTTTCTGAGCAGCTTTGAGGTCGGCCGGGCTAAGCCAGGATGTTGGGGAGGCCAGACTTACCAAAGGTGTCTTAGACGCGGGATCAGCTCACAGTGGGTTCACTGGAACAGAACACCATCCTAATTCACTGAACACTGAACATCTGAGTGACACCACCCTCGAGGCCACTGGAAGAGCCACGTGTACCACACGGAAAATCAAGATACATTCCCAGTGACAGAAAGTGAGATGTTTAACCATCTCTCAGAAATTGTCCTGACTTCCACACAGGTGCTACGGCATGCACACACCACACACACCACACACACACACACACACACAGACGCTCATATCACACAGACACATGCACACACACCATACACGAATACCAAACTACACACGCCCACTCACATCACAAACATCACACACACACCTGCCCACACACCACACACTCACACACCATACGTGTACCCATACACTCACATCACAGCACATTCAAAGTCACACACAGAGATGTGTACACACACACATGCTCACATCACACACACACACAAACACATTAATAATAACAACCAGTAGTTTTTAAAAATCAAAGATTTAACTTTTAAAAATTACTCCCTTCCCCACACACAAAGCAGTTATTGGTTGAAAGAAGTCAGTGTCCTGGCATGGGGCTAAGGCCAGGAGACCTCTCACCTTCCTCATGGGGCAGGGTGGACACTGTCCTTCACCTCTCCATGGCCTGTTACAGCAGGCAAGGCAATGGGCTATCTTGTTTTATTTAGCTTTTTCTTTAGATTTTTTTTTAATGCAATTTTTTAGTAGCCGAAGTTGTTATCATTACTTAGTCTCCTTGCTTTGAAAAGGTTACAAAGTTGGCCGGTGACTAGGCCCCTCCTTGCTAATGTTTTGTTTCCTGGTTCCGAAGTGGCCCCGCTTGTCACCCCAGGCTACAGAAGGTGTGTCTCTTGGAGAGGCAGCCCTCCTGCCCTGGCCACTGGCCCTTTGTGTGCACGTGGAGAAGTCGGGAATTTTGGTTATTTGGGTTGGGTTGGGTTGGGTTTCCAGAGGCAAGGCCCTACCGTGGCTCTGTGACTCCGGCTGGGAAGCCAGGGCCTCCTTAGACCTGTCTGGTTGCCTGGAATCCAGTAGCTGCCTATACATTAACTCCAGGATCTGCTTTCACCCGGACTCAGGGACTTTCCAGAGTTCTGCCAGGAGCTCTGAGTGTCCACTTACCCGTCAAACAGCCTGCTAGAGCAGGAACAGGTGAGTCAACAGACAGCTGTGGAGGCAGGTCCCGTTGCCTTAGCTGGCAAAGGCTGGGTTGCTCAAAGCTGGCTACTGAATAAGCAGGGTGGTTTTTCAAGACAGGGTTTTACTGTGTAGCTCTAGCTGTCCAAGAACTCATTCTGTAGAGCAGACTGGACTTGAACTCACAGAGCTCCACCTACCTCTGCCTCCTCAGTGCACAGCACTTGCCCAGCCACTGTGGCTTTTTTCTTTTCTCCTGTAGATTACTGAGTCCAGTTAGTGCTGCCCATGGGAGTGCTGACTGACCCTGTCGCCTGGCTTTTCACTGTGCCGTGAACGATATTTTGTAATGGAGGGGCAGATTGCTGAAAAGTTGGGCTGGGCCTGGTGGCCTGAATGTGTATGATCCTAAAACTGGTTGCATCATCACAGTATTGATTAGAATGGGGCTCTCTTGTCAACTACTTAAAAAGCCAGGGTTTATACAGAAGCACAACTGTTTCTTTAGGAAGACCACAGCCCAAGTGGCTGGGACTGGATGGCCAATGCTTTGGAAGGACAGAGTGTTGTCTCTGCTACTAAACCTTTTACCTTTGTCTCAAACCTGCCAGTCCCTGTAGGTGTTGAGACCTCAGCAACGGCTGAGGATTGAGGCAGAGCTAGGGCAGAGGATCCAGCACTTAAGATGCTGAAGCAGGAAAAAAAAATCCATAAAACAAAGAACCTGCTGTCTTAGTCAGGGTCACTATGGCTGTGAGAAAACACCATGACCAAAAGAAAGTTGAAGAGGAAAGGATTTAGGTGGCTTACACTTCCTTATCCACAGTCCATCGCTGGAGGAAGTCAAGGCAGGGACTCAAACAGAGCAGGAACCTGGGGGCAGGCGCTGATGCAGAGGCCATGGAGGGCTGCTGCTTACTGTTTGCTCAGCCTGCTTCCTTATAGGAACCAGGGCCAGCAGCCCAGGGATGGTACCACACACAATAAAGTGGGCCCTTCTACATAAATTACTAATTAAGAAAATGCTCTACATTTTGTCTTGTCTACAGTACAAAATCTTATGGAGGAATTTTGTGAGTTGGTGTTTTTTTCCCTCTGAAATGACTGTAGCCTGTGTCAAACTGACATAAAATTAGCCAGCACACCTACCATGTTGGTGATTCAAAAGACAAAATCCCTACTGTAAAGTTAGGCAGAAAGGGAATCTTAGCTGTCTTGTGCAGGGCTGGCTCAAGACAATCTAAGCTAGGAGTCACAGTGCACACAATTATTGCTATTTAAAAAAAAAATTTAAGTCTATTGATAAACAGAAATGCCTAAGACCTTTGAAAATGAGGACAGGACCACTCCAAGGTACGATGGTAAAGAAGGGTTTTACTGTAGGTAAGAGGGAAAGCATAGCCAGCGGTGCCTAGAAGAGTCCTGTCTGAACCGAGCCATGAGAGGAGAGAAGAGATGAGAATTGGCAAGAGAGGGGAAGCTAGAAAGAAGAGAGAGAGGTTGAAACGGCTGGATTATGAAGAGAAAAGAAGCTCAAGCCCTGGGCTGGAGAGGTTTAGGGTAGGGTCGGGCAAGAAGTGCTTGGAGGAGCCACAGGTATTGAGTGATATTTGTCTCATATTTCTCCGGGGCAAGACAAAAACCTTCTTGTTTCAGCTGCCTGGTCCTAACTATGGGGGTCCTGTTCTCCCTCACAGTCTGTGAGGGCCACTGGCAGAGAGCTTATGGAGATTAACTTAAGACCAACCCAAAATATCAGGACACTCGTTTGCAACGTCAACCAGGGCTGGGCCTCGGGACATGCCCAGCCTGCTGTCTGCTGTGCTGTGCGGTGTGAAGGTTTTTTCAAAGCCCCAGCAACCACTGGCGGTGACGAGCAGAGACGCTGTAACCGGGCCCACTGCAAAGCTGCCTCAGCAGCACCAGGCTCGGCCAGCATTCACATCCAGGAAGCAACATCTGCTCCTGGACTCCCTGGAGGTGTACAGCTGCTTCCCTTCAGTCTGAGCCAGGCCGATGGTCTCAGAGAGAGAATCCCATTCTTTTCCAGCTTCGAGACATACAGACCCCACCTCCATCCCAGGGTGTCTGTCTGCAGGAAGGATGGCGGCTGCAGGGAAGAGGGTCTCCCAGGTCTTCCTAACAGTGTCCCCAACTACCGTTATCAGCTGGGTGGGGCTAGCCAGAGCCTGCAAACCCTGAAGCGGGCAAGTCCGCTGCAGGAAAAAAAAACAAAAACCCGCAGAGCAAGTGGAACTTTAAGCCGACAGGCTGAACAGACGCGCCCCAGGCCAGTCCGCCACCCTCGGCCACTCTGCTCGTCTTCTCGGAGGCAGTTGAGTTGCTGCTGACCAATCTCAAACAGTACAGCTAGGAGAAACCGCAGCAGGGACACAACTCCCAGCACGCCCTGCGCCCGCCACTCCCAGAAGGCTACGCGCGGAAGCTCCTAGGGCGGGGCTTTCCCGGCTCGCCCCGCGCGGTCCACTCCCAGAATGCGGCTGGAAATTTAGCAGAGGGCGTGGCCTGCGCGGCGCTTCCCGGCCGACGCCTACTCCCAGAAGGCCGCGGGCGAGGATCTGGAGGCGGGGCGCTCCCGGCATGCTCTGCGGCACTCCACCGTCCGCGGGTTTTGAATCGCGTTCTTGGCCGTGTTGGCTGGGGTTGTGACGGCAGCATCATGGGGGCCCCGGCGCTGCCCCCGACCTGGCAGCTTTATCTCCTGGAGCACCGCATCTCCACCTACAAGAACTGGCCCTTCGAGGAGGGCTGCTCCTGCACCCCAGAGCAGGTGAGTCCGCCCCTTCTCGCACTTCAGTGTCTGTACACAGACGTTTCCGCCCCAGCTCCAAAGCGACTCCACCGGGGCCTTAGTGTGGCCCCCGGGATCAGAAACCCCTCACTCTCTGTTAGAGCACTGTTAGCTAGGCTGCCTTGCTCTGCTCAGGACAAGGAAAGACTGCATTGTCCTCCACGAGGCCACCCCACTTCTCCCCATCCTTCTGCCCGAACCACTAAGGCTGGTAGCCCCACTGTTGTTAGGTCCTGTAGACCCCGTCTCTTCCCACTACCCCTAGAGAGGCAGCCCCACCTCTCGTCCCGGAACGACCTTCGGGAAAGATAGGATTAAGGTCAGACTGTTGGTTCTGCTCACGAGCTGTCATTTTCAGATGGCGGAGGCTGGCTTCATCCACTGCCCTACCGAGAATGAGCCTGACTTGGCCCAGTGTTTTTTCTGCTTTAAGGAGTTGGAAGGCTGGGAACCAGATGACGACCCTATGTAAGTCCCTGCAGGCTACTGTCAGTGGGTTTCCTGGCGCCCTGGTTCCTTTGGGAACCTTTTGGGTTGAACTGGGGTTCCAGACTGGTCTTGAACTTGTTATATAGCTCAGACTGGTCTTGAATTCTCAATTTCTGTCTCAGTTTCGTGGGTGCTGCCAACATGCATGGTTTTGTCTGAGGTTTGTTTGGTTTATATTGAGACAGTGTTTCCCTGTGTAGCCCTGGCTGTCTTGGAACTCCCTCTGTAGACCAAGCTGGCCTCAAATTCAGAGATCCACCTGCCTCTGCGTCCTGAGTGCTGAGATTAAAGATGTGTACCACTGTCTGAGACTTTTAGATTTTTGTTAATGTGCACATGTGTGTCTTTATATCTGCCATGGGTGTGGGTGTCCGATCTCTAGGAGTGGAGTTATTTATAGTAAGTTAAAAGATCCCTCATGTGGGGTGCTAGGAATTGAAGTCAGGTTCTGTGGAAGAGCAGCAAGGGCTCCTAACCGCTATCTCCAGCCCCAATTTTTTAATATTATTATTATTTTATGCTTTTATTTTTACTGATAATTGGTTGGTTGGTTTTTTCGAGACAGGGTTTCTCTGTGTGGTCTTGGTTGTCCTGGACCTTGCTCTGTAAACTAGGCTGCCCCCAAACTCACAAGGGCTGGGATGAGAGGTGTGTGCCACCCCCACCCATCTATTTATGTTTTTATTTTGTGTGTGTTTTGATGTGGGTGTCATGGTGGGTGTGGATGTCAGGACAGCTTTGGGGAGTCAGCTCTCTGCTACTGTGTGGGTTCCTGGAATTGAACTCAGGTGAGCAGGTTTGGCAGCAAACATCCTCACCTGCTGAGCCACCTCAATGGCCCCTGCTTGTGATTCTTTAAAAACATCTCTACTGAAATGTAATCCACACGCTGCAAAAATAAAAATAACTTTTTAAAGTCTTTGCGTTATCATTACTTTGGATTTTGTTCTTCAAGATACTTGTTTGATTTTTATTTTTCTTGGACCAGAGATTAAATAGGGCCTTGTACAAGATTCCAACCACTGAGCCATATCTCCAGTCCTTGCTTTTTTGATGGAGGGCCTCATTATGTAGCCCAGGCTGAGCCTCCCACCACTCCCTCCTGAGTGCTGAGGTTACATGTATGGACAAAAGAAAACACAGCTCTGTGTGTATTCAGTCAGGTCACTATATCTGCCTTTCGGTAATGCCTTTCTGTGTTTTCTCACCTTTTTCCCCCCTGACAAAAGTGACTGCTTCCACAGCCTCAATTTTCTCACGCAGAGAAATTGTTTCTCTTCTAGTAAGAGGCTGCAGCTTTTAATCCTGAATGTGGTTTTGGTGTCTAGGTCTTAAAGAGGATGGTGTGGTGGTCAGTGAGAAATATCAGTGGTTTTGTTTGTTTGTTTGTTGTTTTATTTTTTCAAGACAGGGTTTCTTTGTGTAGCCTTTGCTGTCCTGGACTTGCTTTGTAGTCTTGAACTAACAGAGATCTGCCTGCCTCTGCCTCCAGAGTACTGGAATTAAAGGTGGGCACCACCACCGCCCGGCAATGTTGGTATTCTTGAAGTGTTATGGTAGGTTCATGTCAAAGGTAATGGTGCTGGAGAGCTGGCTCAGTGGTTAAGAGGACTTGTTGCTTTTACAGAAGACCCAGGTTTGGTTCTTGCCCCCACCCGCTGCCTGACAATCAACTATATGTAACTCCAGTGTCAGAGGGTCTGAGCCCCCTTCTGGCTTCTGCAAGCACCAAGCACACACGTGGTACACATAAACACAGAACACTCGTGTGGCTGTGTTCTCACCTGTCCTGGCCGACTGCAGTGACATCCCATATTCAAGAATATTCTTTTTGCAGAGGAATGTGAGTCAGCAAAGTCACCAGAGTAACATGTCCGATTCAGGGTTGTTCTGAATCTGTGGTGACATTACATCACATTCCTGTAAAATGAAGTGAAGCGTTTTCTCTCGGTTTCTTTGAGGGTTTAGAACAGTTTCTTCATTAGAGGGTGTGTGCGCGCACCATGCACTTGCCTCGCTTGCATGCACCTTTATATGTCTATGGGGAGGTTGAGAGGCGGCTTGTAGAAATCAGACCTTTCTGTCTGTCTGTCATGTCTTTTTCTGCTATGTAGGTTCTAGGATGGAACTCAGGCTGTCAGGCTTAGTGACGAGCATCTTTAGCTGCTGAGCCATCCTGGTGGCTCAGATTTTAAAAGGATCTGACATGCAATTCCTATGAATTTAATTTTAGATGTTTTGTGTATGGGTGTGTCCTATTTTTTAAGATTTTATTTATTTTATGTATATAAGTGCTCTATCTGCGTGTACACTTCCATGCCAGAAGAGGGCACCAGATCACATTATAGATGGGTGTGGGAATTGAACTCAGGTCCTCTGGAAGAGCATCCAGTGCTCTTAACTGCTGAGCCATCTCTCCAATCCTATGGTGCATCATAGGGTTTCCTTTTTTGTTAGTTTGTTTTTCGAGATAGGGTTTCTCTTTATAGCTCTGGCTTCCCTGGAACTCACACTTTAGACCAGGCTGGCCTTGAACTTAGAGTTCCACCTGCCTCTGCCTCCTGAGTGCTGGGATTAAAGGTGTGTGCCACCACTGCCTAGCCTTAGTTAGGGTTTCTTTTGTTGTGAATAGACACCATGATCACATTAACTCTTATACAGGAAAGCATTTATCTGGGGCTGGCTTATAGTTCAGAGGTTTAGTCCATTATCATTATGGCGGGAAGCATGTCAGCATGCAGGCGGACATGGTACTGGTGAGGTAGCTGAGAATTCTACATCCACATCAGCAGGCAGCAGAAAGAGAGTGAGATACCAGGCCTAGCTTGAGCATCTGAAACATTACCCTCAGTGCCATATTTTCTCCAACCAGGCCACACCTCCTAATAGCACCATTCCCTATGAGCCTATAGGGCATTTTCATTAAAACCACTACAGGGCTTGGTGGCAGTAGTGGTGCATGCAGGCAGGTGGATCTCTAAATTTTTTGGCCAGCCTGGTCAATGGAGTGAGCTCTAAGACAGCCAAGGCTACACAGAGAAACCCTGCCTGGAAAAACAAAACAGACAAACAAAAAATTATGCAACCTTCCCTATAGCTTACTAAAGGCCTCCAGAAAAGTATTCTAATCACAAGGATGGGGAAGACACAGCAGAGAGACAGGCTGTGTGCGGTGCTCCTGGGACATCTGGGTCTGAGGCCTTGCTTGCAATGCAGAGCAGCGTGTGGCAGGAGACAGCCATGGTAATGGGGACAGGCTATAGGTTATGAGTGGCCACAGTTTTTGTTTTGTTTTATTTCATTTTTTTGAGACAGGGTTTCTCTGTGTGGCCTTGGTTGTCCTGGACTCATTCTGTAGCCCCGACTGACCTCAAATTCAGAGATCTGTCTGCCTTTGCTTCCCCAATTGCTGGGATTACAGGCGTGCACCACCAGGCCGGGCTTAAGCCATGGCTTTTTGACATGTTGGTATATTGATTTTTCTAGAGAGGAGCATAAAAAGCACTCACCTGGGTGTGCCTTCATTGCTGTCAAGAAGAAGGTTGAAGAACTAACCCTCAGTGAATTTCTGAAACTGGACAAAGAAAGAGCCAAGAACAAAATTGTATGTATGATTGAGAATAAGGACTGAGGGCAGTCCTCCAGAAGCCCCAGGGACCTGCCAAGGGAAGTACCCTCCACGTGGGTGGGGAGCTTGTAGGGTTAGAGGCCAGGCAGGGCTGACCTGGAGTGTGGCTTGGGGCTGTGCAGTGAAGACCTGTCCTTTCAGGCCTAAGGAGGCCTGCAGGGCGAGCATGGTGGGCAACAAGCCCTGTCACAGGCTGAGTCCCCAGGGTCGCAGCCGTTTGGGTAGAGGTTTGGGAACGTGCAATAGAGAGTATTGACTGAAACAGAGGTGCCACTGAGCTTTGCCCCTTGTCACATGGAGTTAATTGGAAAGGCCAGTGGCATCATGAGTCCACAAGGAGGTAGCTCCCATGCAGCCAAGCAAGAAGAGTTAGGTTGGCCCTGTTCTCTGGTTTCAAGGCAGAGACTAGGGCCTGCTTCTTTATCAAGATTTCTCTTCAGCTTGTAAGTTTTGTTCCTTTGTTGGGTTCATTGTGAAATAACTGTCTGATGCTGAGGATGATGGTTTGTCGGCAGGAAGAGGGAGTGCTGAAGCAGTGAAGAAGGTGTTGGATCGGAGCATGTGCAGATATCCTGCTGCTCAAAGGCCTCATTACACAGTATTTTTGTTTTTTGGGTTTTTTGTTTTTTTAATAAGCAGAGATAGGGTTCAATAAACATTTAATGGAAGGTTGGGTGCAGAGTCAAGGGAGAGAGGCACTCAGGAGGAAAGACGCACTACTCCATGTTCCTCCTCACTTTGGAACCATCGCTCCAGACTCACCTGCAAACACTACTCCCTGACTTTTTTGAGACAGGGTTTCTCTGTGTAGCCTTGACTGCACTGGAACTCACTATGTGGACCAGACTGGCCTCAGCTCACAGAAATCCTCCTGCCTCTGCTTTCCCAAGTGCTGGAATATAAAAGCATGCACTACCATGCCTGGCCTGAATGTGTTTTCAATAAAGTTTTTTATTTATACTTTATTTTATGTGTATTGAGCAATTTGCTGTGAAGGTCAGAAGAGGGCATTGGATCGCCTAGAACTGGAGCTACCTACAGTTTTGAACCAGCATGTAGGTGCTGAGAAACCCAGGCCCTCTGGAAGACCACCAGTGCTTTTTTCTTTTTTTTTTTAATTTTTTTTTTGTTGTTGTTGTTGTTTGTGTGTGGTTTTTTTTTTTTTTTTTTTTTTCAAGATAGGGTTTCTCTGTAACTTTGGCTATCCTAGACTTGCTTTGTAGAGCAGGCTAGAATTGAACTCACAGTAATTGGCCTGCCTCTACCTCCCTGAGCACTGATATAAAAGGCGTGTACCACTGTGCCTGCCGTACCCAGGGCTCATAACTGCTAAGCCCTCCCCAGCCCTCTGAATGGTTTGTTTTGTTTTGTTTGTTTGTTTGTTGGGGTCTTCCTTCCTTCCTTCCTTCCTTCCTTCCTTCCTTCCTTCCTTCCTACCTTCCTTCCTTCCTTCCTTCCTTCTGAGATGGGGTTCCTCTGTTTAGCTCTGGCTGTCCTGGAACTCGCCCTATAGACTCAGCTGGCTTCAAACTCAGAGATCCACCTGCCTCTGTGCCCTGAGTGCTAGGATTAAAGCTGTGTGCCGTTACTGCCCAGCATTCCTGAATGTTTTTAAGGTTGATGCTCTGAGTCTGTGGAGTGCCTATCATAAGGAGCCATTTTCCAGAGGCTTTTTTCTTGTCAATTTATTATTTTTAAGTTACATTCTCTAACCGTGGCTTGGTGGCATAGGTACAGTCCTAGAGTGCAATACCAGCTAATTTCTCTGGCTGAAGGAGGATTGAAAGATAAAGGCTGCACTGGGCTACATGAGTCCAGTTGTTTTTTTGTTTTTTTGTTTTTTTTTTTTTTAAAAAAAGAGAAGTTGCAGCTTATGCTTGGTAAGAGTGTTTGCTTATTATGCTTGAGGCCTAAGTTCAGTTCCCAGCAATAAAAAAAAATGATTATTTTAATGATTATTGTCATTTTGTCATGATGGTGATAAAAACTAGAGTGTCACACTCTCTAGGCAAGCCCCCTTCTGGGCCACACCCAGCCCCGTTGTGTCCGTTCATCATTCCAGGCAAAGGAGTCCAACAGCAAGCTGAAAGAATTCCAAGAAACTTCAAAGACCGTCCGCTGCTCCATTGAAAAGATGGCTGCCTTGTTGTGAGCCTTTGCCGGGGGAACCTGGACCAGATTGATGTGCTGCATCTAAGCCACGTGTCCCAACATGCCCAGCTTGGGCTTCTTAGCAGTGTCTTAGAGGAGGAGACAATGGTATTTTAAAACTCTGTATCGAATATTTTGTTTTTGCTTGAAAGTGGCTCAGCCTGTGTGGCTACGTCTCTCAGTTTTGTGGCTTTGCACTGCTGTGACCGGGACTTACGCAGTGCAGAAAGGAGTGGGTGAGGAGGGCAGTGTCCTGTCACAGACCTGTTGGGGGGGGGTGCCTCTGTAAGGCGTTTTTGCTCTTCATGTCTCTACACCTGGCAGCTGACTCATCCCGTGCACTGTTGCCGTGTTTCGTGTTTCATGTTGGCACCGATAATTCATCTGTCCTTGTGAGGCAAGTCTTCCTACTGCGGGAAACAGAATAAAATCCTGTAAAGAGTGCACCATGAGCTCTTTCTGTCTTGGGGAGATGGTTTGTGTGGCTTTTTGAGAAAGGTCTCGTGTGGTCCAGGCTGATCTGGAGCTCTATAGCTCTATATAGCCAAGGCTGGCCTTGAACTTGATCTGCTGCCCGCACCTCCCGGGTGCTGAGACACTGGCTTGTGCCACTGCACCCTGTGCTGTTTGTTTTATGTTAGGAGGTCATAGACTCAGTGGCCTCTGATCTTCAGTCCCAGCATGCACCGCAGAGTTGAACAGCAGTGGCAAGGCACTGGGATTACAACACGCCCCCCATGGCAGCTGGGATGGACAGTGTTGTGAGCTTGACAGTCTAGACTCACCTTGGCCATGGCCTTTGGGGGCCTGTTTTGGTTGCATTACTTGAGGTGGCGTCTCAAAAGAGCTAATGGAGAGCTGAGCATCAGCGTTCATTCCGCGTTGTTTCCTGACTGTGATCAGCTGCTTCATGCCCACAATGCCGACTCCCTGGGTTCACTGGCTTCATGGTGGACAGCACCTTGAACTGTGAGCCACAGTGAGCTGCTCCTCCAAGCGCTTTCCTCAGTGGCCATTATCACATCAGGATAATCTAAGACACCAGCTGAGGTGCACATACTGGCAATCTCAGAACTTTGGAGTGGAGGGTGAACGATCAGGGGTTCAAGGTTATCCTAAGCTGTGCAAATAGAGGTTGAAGTGAGGCTGGGTTATTTGACCCCCTGCTCAGGAAACCATGTGACTGTCCTGCAAGCACAGGAAAAAGCACAGCCCACCCCATGGCTGAAATGACAGAAGTAAAGCAGCCTGGGCTAAGAGTTGTGCCTATTCATGCAGAGCGTGCTGATAGGCTGAGCTCAAGCAACTTCCACCAGAGTCCAGGCAGGTCTGCTCTGTTCCACCATGCCAGGGTCACTGACTCCAGGAGGATCAGCACAGGAAGCCAGTAAGACCTTCAGAACCTGTGTTAGAAATGGCAGCCTAGTGACCTGCCAAGGCTTCCAGCCAGGCTGAGTGACCCACTGCTGGGAAGCCAACCCAACCACGGCAGTACCAGTTCTGCAGCAGCTCAGCAAGGCCCCGGCTCACTCTGAGTCATGCATAAAACACTCAGGCTACTGTGCTTTTCTTTGCAGCAGTGGTGTGTTCTCCTCGCTCACTTGGTTGTCTCCTGGGAGGCCATTGCAGGAGCTGCTCTGGACATCTGGGGCCTGGCTATCTCCAGAATGCCTCCGGAACCACCCAAAACATTCTGTTGGCCTCTCTGAGGGCTTAGGACAGCTCTGTGCAATAGTAATTCAGGTAATATAAGGGAACCACAACGTCATTAGGAGCTGGATCTTTGCCTCCAGTCCCACCTCACCACACAGAAATCAGAGAAAGCAGGCCACTTGGAGAGCACAGCCGAGCAGACATGGCTGTGCGAGACAAGGGCCTGCGTCTGCACAGCTGGTCAAGGCCACAGGCAAGCACCAGCAGGGACGTCTGTGCAAACAGGCCAGCTTGGCCGGTGGCCAGCTCCACCCCAGCCTCCACAGCGCAAACACCGCTCCGAATAAAGTCGGGAGCCAGCACAGTTGCGAGTTCCCCGCCTCCCGGCTCAGTCTGTGGGGCTTGCCAGGCTTCAACAGGGAGGGACCAAACTGGGTTTGAGCCCCTGCGACTGGTTGCCCCATAGTCACCAAAGCAGTGATGTTAGTCAGTGCATTCTGAACTGGCACTGCGACCAGGACCCCGAGAAGGTTAAATACCAGCAAGGGGCCTGGGTAAGTGTGTCAGAGCAACAGGAAGAGCCACCACTGAACGTTCTGCCATCTGAGTTCCTGTCCGAAGCTGCCAGCTGGACTAGCAAGGGCCAGTGCAGGGGCAGGAGAGAGGTGTGCCTTCTGGTCTTTGCACGAGCAGTCTGGTGGCAGGGGGTGGGGCCATGTGGGAAAGCATCTTTCCCACAGCAAAGCCCTGGCTTGGTGGCTGGTTCCACTTGCTTTAGGACCAACTGCTATTCCAGTTACTACTGGTCCCTGGTTGTCTCATGTCTCCCCCCCCCCCCCCCCCCCCCCCCCCCCCCCGCCCCCCGGCTTCCCCCCCCCCCCCCCCCCCCCCCCCCGAGACAGGGTTTCTCTGTGTAGCCTGGCTGTCCTGAACTCACTTTGTAGACCAGGCTGGGATTACAGGCACACGCCGCCACACCAAGTTTATGGTCACGTGTCTTAAATGGACACCCGGTTCAGTGCTTCCTTAGCGTGTGTGAACTGGCTTGGCTGCAGCCATGTTTTGTTCAAGATGAAAAGCTATGTGTGTGTAGCCAGTGCCCTCCAACTCTGGAGAGCCCTTTAGAATGCTGTTTCTTGCCTTGCATCTGCGGGCTTAGCCACCTTCATCCCTCATGCTGGGTAGATGAATGGACCCGCTAGACAGTAATTTGAGGGAGGCTCATCTTCTGTGGGAGGCCATTTGCCAAGCTCAGTAAAATTAGCTGTCAGCTAGCTGATGCCCACCTACTGGAGGATAATTTGGCCAACAGTTCAGCTGCTTCCCCAGACTCAGGCTAGAGGCAGTTAGCTTGGAGCAGGAGGCTCATCAACCACATGGCTGCCACAGAAACGGACTCTTGTCCAGCTGCAGATGTGACCTAGTTGAAGAAGTGCGGCTTGGATGCAGACTTGCTCCTGTCACTCAGGAGTTGACTGTCTTCCCAGACCCAGTGCCTGATGGGTTCTGCTGGCTTTGAAGAGCTCCTGCAGATAGGCACTCAGCCGGCTGATATGGCTTACATACTGATGAGGCAATGCATAGTGACTACGAGGTGGTTCAAAAGCAGCACCTCTTAGACTGTGCTTACTGTCTCTGGGTCCTTCGGAGACAGTACCCTGGCAGATCCATTAGTGCCATCCCCCAGGGACCAGCACCTGCTGCCCAGAGGACAATGTAATCAGCACCTTGAGCTGCTCAGAACCCAGGGTTGAAAACGATAGGCTGCCCAGCGGGAGCTTGCCGGAATGAGTGCAGAGCTGGCGTGGATGCCTCCTGCTGTACTTCCCCAGGGTAGCAGTGGCCTGGGGCATGGCTGTTGCCTGCCCTAACAGCAGCAGTGCACCTGCTTGAGCTGCAGCAGGAGCGTGAACCTTTGCAAGCCAGCTCAAGGGCAGGGGCCTCAGTGGGAGGGAGTCAGGACCCGGCCGAGGGTCTCCCTTCTGCTTCCTCCTGTCTTGGGAGGGCTGCAGCTCTCTGAGCACACATTGGGTTCTTAGTCTTTCCCAGATGATTGGGCTGCTGCCTACCACCTGGTTCCAGAGCAGGGGTGTGTGCAGGACAGTGCCAGCTGGAGGGGCTGTCACTCAGCAGATACAGCTGGGCACGGCTTGCTGTACATATGGATAGAACAGCTCATAAAATACTGGAAAAACTCTGCTCTGAATTCCACTTGAAATATTGTTTTAATAACTTTGCTAAGATTGCTTTTATCTCCAGACTATATTCCTCAAGCCAAGAGCTTAGCAGAAATACTATATATATATATATTATAGTATATATGTATATTTTATATATAGAGAGAGACCCAAACAATCCCAGTGAGGGCTTGGCTGGCCTGAGTGTCAAAACTTCAAAATTAAAGAAAAACCATCCCTGGCCCTTCTCTTCAGGCTCTGCTCACCCCAGGGCCAGTGGTTCAGAGCCGCCCCTCCACACCCTGTTCTCCAAACTAATCCAGCCCACCCAGCTTCAGCTGCCTGATTCCTCCTGGGTGAGGCTCCTTTGCCTCTCAGCCTTTAGCATCAGACTCCTGTCCTCAGGGGTTGTCTGTGTGTGTGCCCCCAAAGGGAGTTACACAGAAGCAATGCTGTTTCTCCCAGCTGCAGGAAACTGACAGAAACCAGGACCCCAAGCCGACATGTGTCACATTCTGAGCTGTCCCTGTATGTGCCCAGCTGGGACTGTCTACCCACCCTACCCCACCCTGCGTTCTCCTAGGACCTCTTGGTACCGTGGTCCAGCTGCTGGCTGCTGCTGCACATCTTGGGGGTGGGTAGGTGGTCGGCAGTCTCAGGCTGGCCTCTGATCCTCTCCCCAACACCACCCAGCAGGGTGCGCACGCTTGCGCCCACTGGTTTGTGGCAACCTTGGGATTTGAACCCAGCTGTCTCCCATTCGGCCACGATTTAAGATTCCTCCTCCCACCTCCCCTCGATTTCCTTGCGAACTTGGCCACTGGCTCAAGGAAGCAGTGGTCACAGAAGAACCTAGGACAATGCCTCTCCCACACTCCTGCCCTCCACCTAACTCTGTTCCCAGCCAGCCTGCTCAGCGGTGACACCCCTCCCGTGCCCCTCCTGCTGATTCTCCCGCCCCTCCCGCCCCTCCCGCCGCCGCAACCTTCACTAGCCTGCTTCAGTTCTGTCCGGGAACCCTGTCTGCCCCCAGCCCACAGTTCCCCCTGTCTCCAACTCCCTGCCACCCCCTGCAGCCAGTCGCTAGCTCCGCTTTCCACCCGGCCCGGCATCCCTGCATCCCGTGTGTGTCTGCCCGGCCCTTGCCCCGATGGCTCCGCTGGCCGCGTTGCTTCTGAGCGCAGCCCTGGGCGCCCTACTCAGCTTCGCGCTGCTGGCAGCCGCGGTGGCCAGCGACTATTGGTACATCCTGGAGGTGGCGGACGCCGGCGGCCCGGGGCGCACGCAGCACTTCTACTCGCATTCCGGGCTCTGGCGGACCTGCGAAGGTGAGCTGCGCCCAGACCCCCCCCCCCCGCCCCGAGTTCTCCTGCCCTCCCTTGTCTGTTTCCCGACCCCTGCCGCTCTAAGCCCCTCCTGCTGGAGTCTCTGCGGCATCTCGGTCTGCTTCTCAGGGGTCTCTCATTCCATCCTCATCAGACTCCCCTCCAACTGCTGGGTGACGGCTGGGGTGTGGAGGGACAGGCTGCTGCCACCGTGGCGGTGGCTGGGGAGTAGTGCAGCCTGGCACTCTGCTTCCTGAAATTCTGAGCGCTTTCCTCTGGGGCCTGGCAGGGGTCACTGTGTGCTCCTCCTCTGCAGCCCAGGGGCCAGGGAGACCTGGATTGCTTCCTGGAGGAGAGGCCACGGGGCTGGGGAGGGGCAGGAAGCACAGGTGTGCATGGCTGGGCCCCCACAGAAGACCTCAAGCCTTCAAGTGACCAGGGGCTCCCTGCTGCCCCTCAAGTCCCCTTCTCAGCAGCCTCAGCCTGAGGGATTCCCTTGCAGCAGTGTGAGTGTGAGTGTGATGGCGTGTGAACACATGGTACTGTGGGGGGAGGGAATATGAATTCTACGAATGTGAGAGGCAAGAATAAGTACATGATTGTGTGTCTGTATGTGCTTATGTGTGTGTGAGCACATGGGGTTGTAAAGCTTGTATTTGTAAGCATGCATGTGTGTACGTGTGTGTGTGTGTGTGTGTGTACACGAGTGCCCAGGGCTGTGACGTTTGTATGTGTAAGCATGCTGTGCTTGGGGCGGAAGCCACCTGGCAAAAACCTCCCGTGTGCATGTGCGTGTGTCGGTGCATCTGAGCATGTGCTCGTGTAAGAACCAGAAAGCCTACGCAGTGTCAGTCAGGAGGCTCCAGGGCGTGACGTCTCCACTGGGGACCCTACCTGGGCATTTCTGAATGTTGGAGATTTTAAACTCACTTCCTTGTAGGTCTGATCTTCTGTGACCCTTTACTAAATGAGAGGCCTAGTCTCTAGTCCCACTTGCAGCCATGACCCCAAGTTCCAACAGGATGCAAAGGCTGTGCCACCCGTATTGCCCATCTCTCATCGGCACCTCGGCTTTCAGGCCAGAACAGCTGCGTGCCCCTGATTGACCCGTTTGCCAGTGACAGCCTGGAAGCATCTCCCTCGATACAGCACCTCCTCTGTAAGTCCTGGGGTACCGCCACCCGTCCCCGGCTCTTCGGGCAGGTCTGGGCCCCAGCCACCTCAGCCCCACCCCACCAAACTGCTTCGGAGGCCTCGGCACCCAGAGGATGTTTCCATCACAGCACTCTGACCTCACGACCAGATGGAATCCCAGATTCTGGAGCCCCAGCCTGCCCTGTCCTCAGGCCTCAGCTGCTCTTCAGTGGAGCCTACCTTTGCCTCTGAGGGAGTGAGCCACCTCAGAGCCTGACTAGATCTCCAGGGGCCCACCAAGTCCCCCTTTTGGACTGACCCATAGACAGCCTGCTGCCCCTGAGAGGCCTGAGGGTGGGGTGGGGAGGGCACTGGCAGAGCCTCCCTCAGCCTGGCTGCAGGGAGCCTGCACCAGAAAGAGGTGGCGGCCAATGGGAGGGTCTAGTGGCCACTGTGGTGGAGGTGGGCCTCTGCTCAGACCCGCTGGTGACCTGAGCAGGGGAAGCCGAGGCTATCCTGGGCTCCTCCGTGGAGGCAGGCCCCTCCGCCTGCCCTGAGGCCCCTCTCCCCACAGTGCTGCACCGCACAGTCATGGTGGTCCTGCCTCTGAGCCTCATCCTCATCGTGTGTGGCTGGGTCTGCGGCCTGCTCAGCTCACTGTCCCAGAGCGTCCCCCTGCTGCTCCTCACTGGCTGCCACTTCTTGCTGGGGGGTGAGTCGCAGGTTCCCTGGGGACTGTAGATTGTGCACTCCACCCCACCCCCAACCATCAAAGGAACCCTAAGGTTGGCCCAGTGGCCCAGCTTCTGGCTGGGGCTGGGTACACAGGAGCACCCGGGTGGAGCATCTTGGCCAGGCAGACCTGAGGGTCTCCATGATAACTGCAGAATAGCTCTGTGGGCAGACGGTACAAAAAGAGGGGTGTGGGTTTCCACCCCATCTGCTCCTCATACCAAGTGAGAAGCTGAGACAGAGCAGATCAGGCAGGGCAAGTCCTCGGCTCTCACTTCCCTATCCCAGGCTATGAGTAGCCACAGCACCAGGCAGAGCCCCCTTCACGGCCACCTCAGCAGGCTGGAGACACAAGCCTTCCGGAACCAGAGGACACGGCCCGGCCGTGCTGTCTGTTCCAGCTACCCTGGGCTGCCTGTCCAAGGTGGGCAGGTGGTCACGCAGGGGTCAGTCCTCAGCAGCCCTCATCGCTGGGGCCAGCTTTGTGCTGCTCCCTGGTCTCGGGCCAGCTCTGCTCTCATGGCTGTGGCCACAATGATGAGATTGCCCAGACAAGCCTGCTTCCCTACAGGAGACACTGGGCTCCTTGGGAGGCCTTTGTTAGGAGTGGGATGGGCCTGAGACTGGGAACCCAGAGCCACTAACTAATGAGGCAGACATTCAGATCCAGGTCCCCAGAGAATGAAATCTCGGCAATTAGAATATCTGCCGTGGCCTTGACCGGGAAGACTGTGAGTGCAAAATCCAGTTAAGAAGACAAGGGGAAGCCACCGACAGCAGTAATGGGGTTATAACTGGGGAACTTCATGGTGACATGGAGCCTCTGCATTGTTCTGGGAGTGAAGATACCACCACAGGTAGAGAGCCAGAAGGCAGCTTCTCGGGGAGGCTGACCCCACCTTCCTGGGCAGAGGGTACTTTGCCCTCAGAGGGAGGGAGGGAGGGGAGGGACTGCGGTCCCCTGAGGCAGGATGTGAGGAGGAGAGGCAAGTGGATGTGGAGTTATCGCTGCAGGGACCAGCCAGGAGGTGTACAGCAAGAGCGCTAAGGCTGAGAGACAGGTCGCCAACCAGGGAGCTGGGCGCTGCAGGCGAGGGGGGCGCCACCTGTGTCGGCTCCTAGGCAGGCCTGAGAGAGTGGCCTTCCTTCCACTGTGGGTGCTGACCGCCGCCTCTACCTCTTCCAGAGTGCAATGCATTAGATTCTGCTTCACACCCTCCCCCAGATGAACCTGTGGCCTTTGCTGCAGGCAGTTAGAAATCCATCCCCCACCCCCACCCCAACACTGCCAAGGGCTGGGGTGGATGGAGGCCAGATAGTGTGGGCTGCAGAGCTGTGCTGTCTTCTGGCATAACTGAGTCCTGGGACGGACCGTTTGTAAGGGGTTTTGTCAGGGGAGGTCTCAGAGTGGAGGACTGTATTGGAACCCCCTACCACTCCACCCGCTAAAACTAGCATCCACTACTCTTAGTGGCTGTCTAAAAAACGAGGTGGTGTCCGGGAGGGGGGAGACAGTGCTGGTCTGCAGGCGGCACGCTGAGCAGTCTTGCTGCGCCTCTCTCCCTAGGTGCCCTGACCCTGGCAGGGCTGAGCATCTACATCAGCTACTCACACCTGGCCTTCGTGGAGACAGCCCGCCTGTATGGCGCGGGCCACATGCAGGCTGTGCACATCAGCTTTGGCTGGTCCCTGGCCCTGGCCTGGGGCTCCTGCGCCTCGGAGGTGCTCAGTGGTGCCCTTCTGCTCACAGCTGCCCGCTTCCTCAGCCTGAGTCAGCGCCCAGGGATGCCCCACTCTGTGATCCTCTGAGGCCCAGGGCGGCAGGCTGGTGGGGAGGAGGAAGGCTTAGGCACCCCTGGTATTGGCTGGAATCCTGGCTGGGAAGGCGCCTTGGGGATGGTGTGTTGGGGGCGTATTCATTTCCACTCCAGCTGGACATGAGGAAGGCAGCCAGACAGCCCATGTGCTCTTGATGGCACAGTCTGGCGGGGGCACCTCAGGGTTCTGGGTGCCTGGGGGTGCCCTGGGGATGTAGCCCACTCCAGCCTACAGAGCTGAGACAGCACTCTTCTGTGCTGGGTACTGGCCGAGTGCTCCCCTCCCTCTGTCCCCCACAGTCTAGGCAATGGGCACCACTCAGCCAGTGCCGTAGAGTGGGAGACCGAGGCCAAAAACCAAGAACAGGAGGCAGGGCCAGTGTCACTGCACTTTGGCAGGACCCTGGGTTCTGTTTTGTTTCCTCTGCCAAGGGGAGGTTGTTGAGGAGGAGGCTTGAGGCCGGGTGGGAGAGCACAACCTCCATTCACAGTCGCTTTCTTGAGTGCTTCCAGGCAAGACAGACCTTCGGCTCTCAATCCTTGTCCTCCTGCAGGCTGCTGCCCCGGCTGGCCTGGTACTGCTTCTTTGCAGCAACTAGGGGGGTGTCTGGGACTGGCCACCGTTGGGTTGAGTTGGAGCCATGCCTGGCCAGTCCCCGGGGTAGCCTGGATAGAGGCCCGGCTCATCTGCAGGTATGGATGCATCAGCTGACAGGCCCGAGCCTGCAGCCCGCTCCCTGTCTGGGACAGCACAGGTGAGAACTCCGTGTTTGTGTAACTGGAAAGCAGACAGCTCTAAGTTAGGGGCTGTGCAGCACTCCAAAGCCCCAGACAGCCCTGATTCCTGAGTTTGGGATATGCACTAGGGAAGGTAGCGCTTCTCAAGGCTTGGTCCCCGCAGTGTCCCCAGGCCGCTTTTGATTGCTCCTAAGGATATGGGAAGCTCCGGGGATCAGGGGAACACTTGGCAGGGTTTAACGGGACCCGCTGAGGGCAAAGGACTGGAGCTGATGGAGACCTCCCTTCCAATTTGTGTTCTAACTTTTGCCATTCCATGTAAGAGTTCTGCCAAATGTCTGAATAAATCAGCTGTGATGTGTGTGTTTTCCTCTTAGAGCTGTTTGCTTGTTTGTTTATGGTGGGGTGGGCACAGGGACAAAGCCTCACTATGTAGGCATGAACTTGTTGCCTCCTGCCTCAGTTTCCAGAGGGCTGAGGTGTACATCACCAGGGCCAGCCTAGAATTCTTCAAAACGGGTAATACATACTCATTTCTTATATTAGAAAGGTGAACACACCCCAGTGCACGCTCATGCGTCGTGTGTGCGTGTGTGTGTGTGTGTGTGTGTGTGTGTGTGTCCGTGTGTCCATCACAGATGTCCTGTGTCTGTGTGCACTCTGTCATGTCCTGCAGCTACAACTGCCTTCCTCCTAGGTGCAGAGATTGAGATAGCCTTGGGCCTCTACAGGACCTGGGCTGGCTAGAGGAAACATTTGCTGTGGTGTCTGCCTGCTGGGAGCTAGCCCACAGAATGTGGGTGCTTCAGGGTTCCCGGCTACCCTGGGGAAGACCCACGCAGTGGCCGTGAAGGCCTCCACATTGCCTCAGGGCACGTGCCTGTGTACGTGCGCATGTGAGCAGGCAGGGGACTCGCTGAACCAGCTGAGGCCTTTGCTCTGATGGGCCAGTCTCCTTGGTAACAGGCCCAAGGCTTCTGCCTTGTTTCATGGTTCACTGGGTAGCTGGGCTGTGAGGCCCAGGTGAAAAGGCAGGCAAGTGTTATCACCACTCGGGGAGGAGTTAGCGGCTCAGAGCCAATGAGAACAGACAGCAGGCTCCGGTGGTGCCGTGTACCTTACATCCAGTAAACGAGAGACTACTGGGCAGCTTGCCCACAGAGACAAGAGCCAGCCCCCGTGGCAACCAGGCCTCACAGGCAGGGGATACGTGGGCCTCAGGCCTGCAGCCGAATGTGGGTCCGGCTAAGATGCCCCATAGCGGTGCGGGGCTCACTACCTCTGAACTCACTTCCCTGTAAACGCTCTGCTCTGCCTTCTCCTCTGCCATGCCATGGCTGCCTCCAGTCATTTCTCTTCTGATGCCACCACCAGAACCTGAACCATAAGGACTCAGTGTCTCGGATGCAGACTTCGCCTCAGCCAGCATCCATAGCTTTTAGCAGCCGCCTTCAGATGCTGGAGAGATCCTGACCGCATCCCTTCAGGCCCCTTTCTGACACACTAAGTGTGGGCTGACCCAGGGATACATAGGAAGAGGCAGACAGCACCTCACAGCTCTTGCCTCAGTCTCAAGCGCTGGTGCTGGGGGGCCACGGCTGAGGCTGGGGTGAGGAGAGGCGTGCCTGGGCACACAGGGGTAAAGCCGGGCACGCTGCAGACAGGCCACCACGGAGGCTGATGACCCACCCAGGGCAGTCATTGGTTAGGAAAGGTCAAGCACAGCTTCGGCTAACCCTCCCGTCCCTGAGGCCAGAAACTTGGAGCTAGAGGGGCATTCCTGCCCGCTTAAGGCACTGGCTTGACTGGGAAGGCTACTTCCGAAGCCGTGGGCAACAGCACAGTGCACACTGCCCGTCCCCAGAAGGCGGCATGGGTGAGCAGGAGGGGAGGCACTGGCTTCATGCTCTACCACCTCAGGCCCAGGAGAAAAGCTCTGGGGCCTGTGGGGGCCTCGAGCACTAGACCCCAGACACCTCTGGAGTCTGCTAAGGAAGGGGGACAGCAGTGCTCTTCCCCAGTTGCACCCCCTGTACTCCCACGCAGCTGTCTGCCCGTTCCTTTGGTGGTCCCACACCACCAAAGCGCGAAGGTTAGTTCTGGCGGCCTCCCAGCCACCTCCACCTGGCCTCTCTGCTGAAGTTTGTCACCTGATCAGTCTCCTCTTGGGCTCCTCTCAAAGGCTGAGTGCAGAAGCGTCTGATGGTTGCCACTTTAGATCCTGGTGTCCCCCAGAGGTCCACGTGGCAAACACTTCCTCCATGATGTTCTGTCTCACATGGACACAGCCTCAGGGTCACCAGTCACAGACTGAAGCCTCCAAGACTGGGAACCAAGAGAAACTGTTTCTGTAGTAAGTTGACTGATTTTGGTGACTGTTATAGTGACATACACCTGATTTGATACTTCCAGAATGAAGCATCCGTGAGTATGGTTTTAAGCTATTTTATGTGTGTGGATGTTTTTGCCTGTGTGCATATCTGTGTACTTTGGGTGTGCGTCTGGTGCCGGTGCAGGCCGGGGGGGGGGGGGGGGCATGAGGTCCCCTGGAACTGGAGTTACAGATGGTTGTGAGCCACAATGTGTGTGCAGGGAATTGAACCCAGGTCCCCTAGAAGAGCAGCCAGTGCCCATAACTGCTAACCACCTCTCCAGTTCTAATACTGAAATTATTTTTAATTTTTTGTGTATTAGTATCTTCCCTGCATGTATGTCTGCATTATGTACATGCCTGGTGAAGTGGAGGCCAGAGGAGGGCGTCAGGGCCCCGGAACTGGAGTTACAGTGGCTGTGAGCCACTGTGTGGGTGCCAGAAACTGAACCTGTTGCTTTCTGTCATGTATTTAGCTAGCACAGAAAATAACCAATACAAGGCCTTCAATACTTTATTTCACAGCCCTCTCTGATAACACCATTCTGTCAGTCACTAAGGACCTGTTTGTTTGAAGACAGGGTCTCCTGTAGCCCAGGTTTGCATCAGACTCTCGGTGTGGCTGAGAATGACTTCGAACTTCTCATCCTCCGCCCTGCTAGGATCCCAGATGTGAGCCAACACACCTGTTTATACAGTGTTGGAGACTGAACCCAGGGCTTGTGTACACTAGGCAATCAGGCTACACTTCCCAGCCCCAGGATCTGTCCCCCTCTGTCCACGTCCTCTGGATAATTCAGTTGCATCTCATGCCATCCAGTGTCTGCCTATTCCTGACTGGATGAGGCCACCACTGGAGGGAACCAGAGGCTGAATGATGTCATCTTCCAGAGACGACCAGCCTTCACCAGGCTTGGCACGGCTCACTGCCCACTTCAGTTGTAGCCAGGGCACGGGTCCCTGGTCCCCTGACCTCAGGGCTCCAACTGTCTCAGCACAAACTCCCACTTCCTCAGTGCCAGTTCCGTGTCCTGAGCAGACACATCTCGGTGCCACATGGCCCGCACAGACCGTCCCGTCCAGGGAAACAGCAGCACGCGCACGGCACGGCCAGTCTGAGCCACCTCCTCCGCGCTCACAGCCTGGAGGCGCTGGCACAGCTCTGTCGGGGGCAGTCCAGCCACGTGTACCAGCACCATGTTGGTCTCCACGGTGGCAGGGTTCACAGAGCAAATGGGTGACGCCAGCTCTTGGAGTCCTGGAGCCAGACATGACGGTGAGTATAGCCCAACCCTAGGGCTTGGCCATGGGCTACCACCAGAACTACCCCCAGGGAAGGCAGCAGGGCAGCCCAGGTATCTTTGGGGAAACAGGCCCCAAGTCCTGATGTGGTGTTTGAAACATGGATTGGATCCTGCTATTTTTCTCTGTATCTTAGTAAACAAACAGCTCTACTTCTCTGGGCTCCAAGTGGAGACATCCTAGGACTGTTATGAAAATTGAGAAAATGCACAAAAGACCCAAGTAGGAGGCTCCAGTCTTTCTTGGTTCCTTACTCTGCTGGTTGCATCCTGGTGCTGGGTGCCCCGAGGAGGAGGAAGGCCTGGTGAGACAGAAGACCCAGGGCCCATCCTAGAAGCTTAGTCTTAACTCTCCACACGCTAGAGGCTTAGGGTGCAGATCTGTGGGGGCCCTGGTCCTGCTGGGGACATCTGGGCCCAGGTAGGAGGGAGCAAAGGGGAGCGAGGGTGGGGGTTGGTCCAGGCACCTTTAGCGAATCTCCTTGCATTCTCATGGTCCCTCGGCAGCACCTCCTCGGCCTCATCCAGTCCCACCAGGGCAGCCGCGGCCAGCACTCCAGCCTGCCGCATGCCTCCGCCCAGGGCCTTTCGGAGGCGCCAGGCCTCCTCAATGAAGTCTTTGGATCCCCCAACCACAGCGCCGACTGGTGCGCCAAGCCCCTAAGGGAGAGAGGAGAAACTCCTGGGACTGTCCTGTACAACCTGTCCCTGTGAGGGGGAGGGGGAAGGCTGCAGCCCAGGACAGCAGGGATGGCAGGCTCTGGAAGGCCAGCCTACCTTAGAGAAGCAGAAGGACACAGAGTCACAGTGCTCCACTAGATGGGCGGGAGGCACACGCAGAGCCACAGCTGCGTTCATCAGCCGCGCCCCGTCCAGGTGGACCCGTGCTCCATGGGCATGGGCCAGCAGGCGCACCTGGAGGCAAAGGTCAGACAGCGTTCGGAGGGGCCAGGTGTGGGGAGGGTGAGTTTCCAGGGGGCCACTGGGCTTGGCATCTTTTTAAAAAAATGTTTATATTATTATCCCCAGAAGCTGGAGTTACAGTTGGGAGCTGCCTGGTGTGGGCACTGGGAATGAAATTCAGGTCTTCTAGAGGAGCAGCAAGTGCTTTTAGCCACCAAGCCACTTCTCCAGTTGTCTCAATACTTTTTATTTTATGTGTACGTGTGGGTATATGCCACATGTGGTGATGTGCCCAAGGGAGGCCAGAAGAGGCTGCTGGGTCCCCTGGAGCTAGAGTCACAGGCAGTTTTGATCCAGCCAAACTCAGGCCCTCTGCAAGAGAACTGTTCTCAGCCCGTGGGCAATCTCTCCAGCCCCACAGAGCCTGTTGGAGGTAGGACTGGTCAGCGGACACAGGAGGCCAAGAGCATGCTGGCACTGGGGCCCAGCCTGGTGGGAGCCTACCTGGCGGAGGTAGTCGATGGGTAGGACCCGGCCCCCTGCGATGTTGTGCGTGTTCTCCAGGCACACGAGCTCACAGACCGGATGGTAGGCGCTCCCGAAGCCCCGAGTCAGTGCCCTCTCTAGCTCATTCAGGTCCAGGGTGCCTTGGGGCAGGTCTGAGAGGGGGTGGGAGTGAACCCCAGCGATCTGCAGGTGGGAGAGGCACGGGATCAGGTGGGTCCGGTCCGGTGTCACCTTCTGGTAGCGAGGTTCCTCTGCAGTAGGAGCCACCCCTGGGACACAGGGTCTTTCTCTCTGAGCCTTTTTAGTAGGCTGCTGGCCCCTTGCCGCTTTTCTGTTCAGAGGCCGGCTGTCCTTTGGCTGCTCTCTGGAGTGCTAGTGCGCTATTTGTCCACTAGGGGGCAGTAATGCACCAAAGCAGATGAGCAGATCTGGGCCCAAGCCCTCCATCCCCTCTCCCTTGCAAGTTTCTGTTCCCCATCCTGTCTCCCCTTCTCCCAGTTCCAGCCTGCTGCCTGGGAAGCAAGGGCCTACCTTAGCATCCTGGATGATGTCCAAAACCCCAGGGGAGTGGTATCTGGTCCTTACCTGAGCCACTCCGCCCTGCTCATAGATGTTGAGGTGGCATTCCTGCCCAAGGATGACCTGGGAACCCCGGCGCCGGCAGTGACCCATTACTGAGACAGATGGGAGGAGGGCAGGACTTGAAACTGGGTCCAGAAGGTCCCTCTGCCCCTGCTCAGCTTGGCCAGGCTGAGCCAGGCCCCCCAGTGAGCTCAGACTGCTTCTGTGGATTAGGAAACAGCACCCCTCAAAACACCTCACTGCCACGTGTTGGAAAGACTGGTGTGCCATACGGCTCAGGGGTGGTTTTGCTGGGCACTAACCTGCATCAGATCCCTGTGGCCAGCAAGGAAGTTCCTGCATGCTGTGCCCAGGGCCTGGCAGCCCAGGGCCCAGCTGGGCCCTGTCAGAAAGCTGAGGACTCAAGCACAGTGGGGAACAACCCAGGCCAGGGCTGCAAGGCGAGCAGCCAGGAGGAAGAGCTAGGGAGTGGCAGAGACTGTGCAGACCTCACGCCTCCCACTGCCACCTGCCGGGGTGCTCCACTGGCTGCACCCAAGAGAAATCCAGGAATGTGTCCAGCGGTGCCACAGACCCAGGCTCAGAGGGCAGGGTGGACGCTCACCAGAGATGAGGTTGGCCATGGTGTTGGTGGGCACAAACAGAGTCCGCTCCACTCCGAGCAGCTTTGCAGCCTTTTCCTGCAGTTCTGAGGGGGGAGGGTAGAGCAAGAATGCCACCATTACTCGGGGCCACTGGACCTGGCACAGGCCAATGTGCACTTGTTTCTGGGTGTGGCGGTATAGACAGATTCCAATACTCTGGAATACAAGACTATAACTGAGTTGGAGGGCAGCCTGAACTACATAGCAAGACCTTGTCTTAGGCATCTCCCTGAAGAAAAAAAAAAGTGTATTTGTTCAGATGGGAGCCCATGGTCCCACAGGCGGGGCTCGGATGCCACCTGCCATCCTTGCCCTCTATGGTCTCACGTGCCATACCCGGAGGCTTCTCTCAATCTCCTGCCCCAGGCCACCGAAACTCTCTTGTGGTCTGCACCCCCTTTCCCACCCAGACCTCACACCTGTTTTTCTTTCTTTCCCAGCAGCCCCAGCAGGTGAGGCCCTGTGGTTTCCCTGCAGACTTCCTCTCCACCTCACCACGGAAGAAGAGCCTCTGGGGAGGCAGCAGGGCATAAAGGGTACAGCTGGCGGGTGAGGGAACGGCCTGTGTAAAGCCCATGCTGGCTTTTCTGTGGCACCATATCCAATGCTGAAGTGAAGGCATAGGTGTCTCCCACACCCTGTGCCCTGGCTGGCTGCAGTCACTCATCCGTTAGTGAGCACTGCTCTTTCCTCCTCCCAGAACTGCACCCCCCACCCGCCCCTTTCAAAAGACACCCTCCTCAAACTCCTGTCAAGGCCAGCACCTCCCAGCCTTGATGTGGTGACCTGTTTACACCAGGTGCCTGCCGAGCAGCTCAGCATCTGTGAAGTTCCTGGTAGCAGCGTGTTGTTGCTAGATTCCTGATCAGCCCCCAGTGACCCGGGCCTCCAGGGGTCAAGTGGTGATCTGTGGTTTATCTCTGAAACGGTGGAAGCGGCACACACCCCAGCAACACTCGAGGTTGACTCTCGAGCCCGGGTTGCCTTTGGTTTGCTGTCTCCTTACAGCATTCCCTAGGGTCATGATGCTGCCCTGGGAAGGGGCAGCAAGCGTTTTCTTTTTGCAATTGGTTTTGTCTCTGTGAAGTCAGTGACTGCAGGAGAGTAGTTACAAGCCACTGCAGTCAGACCTGCCTCAGACCCTGGTTCTTCCCTGCTCTATGTGGGTCCTTGCGCTCTTCTCTGGCCTCTCAGAGCCTGGCTTTGCAGGGCTGGACAACTTCCATCTGCGCAGTTAGGTGACAGCGGACAGAAATTACCCGGCGGTCTTGTTAAAAAATGCAGATTCTGGCTCCTCAAGTCCAGTATGGCGCTCAGGAGGCCGCATTAGCAAGGGTCTCCCCGAGAACCAGCAAGGACGCAGAGCGCACCACTTAGCCTGCTGCTGCCTTCTCAAATGCAAGGCATCACTCTGTGTCCATGCTGTCCTCCTGTCAGCACCAAGGACAGCGCCAGGGGTCACCTCAACGACCCCTGCCCCGGGCCTATTCGCCCGGCTCACCGTGGACCGTGGGATCTTCACCGTAATCATCGTCTCCTACGGCCGCCTCGGCCATGGCTCGCCTCATGGCCGGGCTTGGCCGAGTCACAGTGTCGCTGCGCAGGTCCACCACGTGGGCTGGGACCCCCGCCCAGCTCCCAGACCACTGAGCACAGGGCACCTTAAGCCCTGGGACAGCAGTCCGGGCCAGTCTGCAGAGCATGGCTGGGGCACTCGCCTTCCTCGCCAGTAGGAGCGCGGTGGACAGTTTCTTCCGTGCCAGGAAGAGATCCGTGCAGCTGGACTCTTCTGACCCCACGTGGACCTCAGCTGGGCAGTCCTGGCGCACTCTGGGAATTGTAGTCCTCTCTGGAAGTTTATACTTTTTTTTCAAGCCCCGCAGCATGCTGGGAGTTGTAGTTCGTTTCGTTCCTGCACAGGCTAGGAGACTTTGGGATGACAGTTTCTTGCTTTGCCGAAGGGGAAATGCAGCTTCGGTCCAGGCGACTTGTAGCATGCACCTGGTAATGCTCGCTTAACTTATATAAGCGTCCCACCCACTCTGGGAAACAACCCGAGTGCTGGGAATGGAATTCAGATTCTCTTCGTAAGCAGTACCATCCTAACCGCTGAGCCATCTCTCCAGCCCTCACATCCTTGTTTTCCACCGGTGGAAACAAGCTGCAGACGATGATGTGAAGTCCAGGAATCATGTTGCTGGTAAAGAGTAGCATTCTACCATCGGAGTTTTTTTTAATTTTTCTCTTTTGAAATAGGGTCTCCTGCATCCCAGACCAGTTCTGCACTCACTGGGTAGCCTAGCTGACCTCGAACTTCTGACCGTCCTGCTTGGGATTTCAGGTGTCTGCCACCATGCCCTGTTTATGCTGTGCTAGGGCTTCGTGCATGCTAGGCAAGCATGCTACCAAATGGGAAACATCTCCAGCCTCTCTGTTTAGAAAAAAGAATTTAAAGCTGGGTGGTAATGGTTTGTGCCTTTAATCCCAGCACTCTGGAGGTAGTGATAGGTAGATCTCTGAGTTTGAGGCCAGCCTGGTCTACAGAGTGAGTTCCAGGACAGCCAGGACTACATAGAGAGAGCTGTCTCAAAAACAAAGAAAGAAACAAAAAAACTAACTAAGGGGTGGTGTTGGAAAGAATTTAAAACCTTTAAAACTATGTGTATAGGGTGGGGAGTATATGCATATGAGTGTAGTTACCTACTGCGACCAGAAGAGGGCGATGGAAACCCTGGAGCTAGCATCACAGGAGCAGGGGCTGGAGGTACAACCTACTAGGACATATGGGAAAAAGGACCACAGCGGTATCTAGAAATGCCCCTCCTTCCTACACCATTGCTCTCCACAGACAAGATGCCGCCATGGAAGCCATGCCCAAGAATGCCCTGTGACAGAGCACCTGCCCTTCCATTGATTCCCCTACAAAAGGTAGGTGGGATGGCTCAGGTCTGTAATCCCAGTTCTTTGGGAGGCTGAGCCTTGAGGATGGTTTCCAGCATCAGGCCAGTTTGCACTAGAGTGAGACTCTGTTTCAAAAACAGACAAACAAACAAACAATAGCAAGGAAAATGCAATCTGCCCAGTCCTCGATATGAGTCAGTAGCTGTGTTCAGGGTGCCCAGCTATGGTGAGGATGGGAGGCTGCAGCTGACCCAGCCCTGGCTGGTGGCGTGCTCTACTGTTTATCCGGATGTTGGAGCTGCAAAAGGCCCTGGAACTTGGCGCTTCTACTGTGGGGCGCACTCTGACTTACCAGGACCGGGGGGGGGGGGGCAGGGAACGCAGCGCTTCTCAGCTGCTTCCCTCTCTGATATGAGTCTATTGGGAGCAGGCTGGTCTGAGAGGGGCCCCATTCTAGCAAGGCACCTGTCGGGGATACTGACCTTGCTGTGTGTCTGTCTGCCTTCCTCCTGCTGTGTCTGCAGGTGGTGTGTGGGGATGAGCAGCCTCCAGGCAGGCTTCCTGGAGGAAGCATCAGTTTTTGAAGACAGGGGAGAGTGATGTGGGAGAGGACACACTGATCACGGTCAGTTGCCGTCCCCCCGCCCCGCCGGAAGTCCAGGGGGCTGCAGAGGTGAGGTGTGGAGAAGCAGCTTAGAGGGCACCTGTAGGGACGAGCGAGCAGGCTCTCTGAGGGACTCTTCCCTTCTCCCATAAGCTTAGCAGAACCACACTCAAAGGGTGCAGAGGTCAAGTCCCAGCAGGCCTGGAGCTCCAGGGACCTGCATTAATAGAAAGGCTCCCTGCTTCCTAACCACAGGGTGCTCTGGCCCTGACCCACAAGCTCTGCCTAATTCCCGAATTCCAGTCCTTAGAAAACAAGCCCTTATCTCATTGTCTGGCTCCGGCCCTTCTGCTGGGAAATGGGGGGCGGGAGCAAAGACTCCATGGGAAGGGGGGTGGATGGGCTGGGAGTAGCCATGGGAGCTCTCAGGGGAGAGAGGGGACAAAAGAGCAAGGCACCTCCCTTTGATGACAGAAGCAGAGAATGGCCACCTGCTTATAATCCTCTCAGAGACTACAAGTCCTTCCCAAGGTCTCCCTGTCAATCCTTCAGCAGCCATGGAGAGTGGGGACAGGACACATGGCTTGAGGACACCCTCCCCCTCCCCCCTCTCAGTGCAGGTGATATAGCTAGACCATTAGCTTTTGTCCCTCTCAAGTGGGCCAGTCTCCCCACTGAGGTATATTCTTCCTGGGAGCAATAGGACAGTTGCATGTCTCTGTCTGCCTGTCTCTCTCTCTCTCTCTCTCTCTCTCTCTCTCTCTCTCGTGTGTGTGTGTGTGTGTGTGTGTGTGTATGCACGCATATGTACACACATATGTATCTGTATGGATTGTGCGTGCATGCACGAGTATGTAGTATGTGTATATGCGTGTACATGTTTAAGGGTGGATATGTGCACAGTTCTGTATGTACATGTTCTGTGCGTTCCTTAGCCATACCCGAGGCTTGCTAGGGTACCTGAACAGCCATAGCTGCTATGCTCCAGATTTATCTGGCCTCTTAATACTTTAACTGAATCATCTCTAGACTGTATCACTGGGGACAGCAGGGGACAAGCCACCTTCTCTAGATAGGGTAAGGAATCTCCTATAGCACCAGCTCCCTTTGTCCCTGGACCCCAGGCTGACCCTGTCCCTCTTCTTCTCTAATTGTGGCCTGTCTGCAGTTGTTAGCACCAGAGAGTTCCTGCTGCAGAGGTCATGGGGTCACCTCACCTTGCCAGTTGTCTCCTCCTCTCCCCGCAGCCAGTACTCTGGGCAGGACCTGAGTGCCGCCATCATTGGTCCTTTTCTTGGGTGTTCATGTGCAGGTGCACATGCGCATGGAGGCCAGAGGTGAACCTCAGGGGTTGTTCTTCTGGTGCGTCTACCTTATTCTCTTCCTGGGACGTGGGGCTCACTGATTAGGATGGCTCATTAACCACCCAGCCCCTCACAGTTGTCTCTGTCTCCTCAGGGTGAGCATTCCAAATGCCAGGCACCATAACAGTGTTTTCCATGGGTGCTGGGGATGGCACTCAGGTTACAAGACTAACACTTTACCCACTGAGCCATCCCTCCAGCCCCTCCTCCCTGACCCAGCCCCTTGATGTAGCCCCCTCTAGGGGGGCTTTTCAGCAGCAATTCAGCCTGCCTTGTGACATTCTGTTCCCCAAGTGTGCTTCTTGCTTCCCCCTGCAGCCCCAGCACCTCTGCCTGGGCCCTTCCCCCCTCCCAGCCAGCATCACAGGTCCTTGGTGACCTCAACTGGAATGCTCTTCCACCAGGTAGCCCCCTGGCCCAGCCCAACAAGGGAAGAAGTGGACCATCTTTCTGGGATATACACAGTCCCTTCTCCTCTCACATTTGTATCAGTTGCTCTGGGTAGCTGATTCATTCTTTCAGCACAAAGGGCCAACCTGGGGCTTTCTGTGTCGTGCCCTGTGAGCCTCACCCCAGGCCCGATTCTGGGACTTGGTGTATGGCAGCTGAGGAAGGGACACATGAGGCAACCTGCATATATGTTTGTCCCTGAGGTCATGTCATCCTGGTGGCGGCTGTGTGGCTGACAGGGGCTGACAGCGGAGGGACACTTGGTCCAGTGCCCCTTGAACTTGGGCCTGTGGCTACACACACAGAGAGCAGGTGCTGCCCCACCTCCCAGGACAGTCTGGAAAATAGCAAGATCAGCCCTGTCCTTGCCATCTTTTGACACTTAAGGGAAGGTTTTAAGAAGCTCAGGCCAGGATTTCTGGGGGACAGCTGTCCCTGAGGGGAACTGTGACTTCCTGGCACCTGGCCAGGCTGGTGTGGGCACAAGTGCGCACACACACTTGCATGCTGCGTTAGTTCAGTGTGCTGTGTGTGCGTATTCCTGTAATGCTGGGCCACTGGCAGGAAGTGAGCAGCGGCGAGGCTGCTGGGAACCCAGGCGGTCCCTCAGAGATAAAGAGAGGCAGCAGATTGGAGCTGGAGATAGCAGCTGGGCCCCAGCACACAGGGAGAAATGTCCTTCCCATCCACTCAGCCCACCCCTCTGAGGGGCATGCATCCAAGCCAGACCTACTACCCTGGAAGGTAGTAGTGAGACCAGATATCTCACTACTACAGCATGGGGGAGGGGTAAAGGCAGGTGCTGGGAGAGGGTGGGTGCTGCCTGGGCTTCGCAATGGCAAGTACTTGACCCTCGTAGAGCCCACCCCCATGCCAAGGCTCCCTGTCTCAATGGAGGGTTAGATAAGGGAAAGCAGTTTCTCCAAGTCCCTGTGCACGCGTGCCCTATGGGGAGACCCCGCTGTTTTTGCCTTGAGACATATGAGGAAACCAGGTGCTGTGCCCCGAGGGTGGGAGTGAGGAGAAGAGGGGTGCAGCAGGAAGGCCCGCCGTGCAGGCAGGCTGCAGTCGGCTTCCGTTCCTACGAGCCCAAGAATGCCAATTCCCTCTTCATCAGCTCGCCTCAGCATGGCTGTGAGGGAGTTGGCACGGCCGGATCCCAGGGCTCAGCAGACTCTCAGTGACGACATCTAACTAAGAAATGTGCACACGAAGCATGTCTGTGCCCTGTCATCACAAACAAATGCGAACAGCAAATGAA